AAAAAAAAAAAAAAATGACATGACACAAAAAAGTGAAATATCCAAAACATATTTGTCAATTGATTCAAATTTGCATAACATGTCAATTTAATGTAACTTTTTGCATTCTATGAAGCAATCAGAAAACATTTACTAAATTATTCAAAACTAAGCTGAAGAGCCAACAACAACAAAAACAAAGGGCAACCCGCTGACAACATGAAAACACAGCAGAAAATGTAAAACATGAAAACCATTTTATGATGAAAGCCAAACAAAAAGCTCAATTTAAAATGCAACCAAAGGCCTGAGAGATGTGCAATATAACTGTATATATATACACATACATTCATACCTATATATACGCATATGTATGGCACCCACTGTTCCAGCTGAGTCGAATTCTTGCTGCAATCTCGCTGCCTAAATTAATTAATTGCTGCTGCCCTGTCGYTGGCAATTTGCCACGCCCACATCGAGAACTATAAATTCAATTTGCTTTAGCTATATATGTATTCTATATACATATATGTATGTATATGTGAAGCATAATTTTTTTGCTGCTTCGCTGTCGCTGAGAGGGCCAAGTCAGCAGCGAAGCCAAAGTAACTTTTGCCAGCACCCGAAAATCCTTTTTTAATTAAATTTTCTGTACATTTTGCAGTTTTTAGGTTTGAGTTTGAGACAACGACGAACCCAACGTCTCATATATGACAAGCAAGTCCTTTGACTTCGCTGTCTCTCTCTCTCTCTCTCACACACACACACACTCGCATTCTTTCTCACTCCATCTCACTCTGTCTCTCTCCCGCTCTGAGGCTTCTTGCAATTGCGACTGTAACCAAAGACAAAGTTTTGAGCTGCCTGCATTCTGCTTGCCTCTCTCTCTCTGCCTCTCCCTCTCCCACTGTCCCTGTCTCTGTCTTTCCTCTGCCTCTTATGCTACTTGCCGTTGTTGCTTTTGTTTTCTGTCAACTTAATCCAATTAGATGCACACGTACTACAACAACACTCCGTCTTGGCATTGAGCACATATGAACGCAGTTTGCACTCTGATTTTCGACCTACCTCGTCTACTTTGGCTGGCTCGCATTTATCATCCAGTCACGATAACAAATACCACCCGAGATAAGAGCATTTTTGTTTGCAGATGACACAGCTTAGCGTATCTCAGATAAGATGTGTTATGTGTCACAAAGGCGTTTATGATATCCGACATTCATTCTTCGTATAACATGAGAATAAATAGCAAAGCAATTGTCTGGGAGTGTATGAATATTTTTAAGGGAGCAGATACTTATATGTATATTTTAGGAAAATTTGTATATGTTACTTTGAAATTTTGTAGAATTTATTGCCAAAAGTGGATCTATATATGTCCACCCCAAGCGCTCTGTTAGGCTTAATTGACTCTTTCTTATTTTTGTACGAATATTTTCGTTATATATTGATATTTCTGTGAATATATACATATATTATATTCTAAGCAAAAAGTGAGCATATTATAAATTTCCAATAACTTTTAATAAGCTCTTATTTGGTTTAAGTTTTGCGTAATGAAGCACAACCATTTTCATGAGCTCGAAAATATGTATATTTTAGTTTACAAACTGTTGTAAAAGATAGTCATACATGTATTTATTAATATTCGCATATCTTCTATATATATTTTTATATTTATGTGCATGTCATATATTTTAGAAATTAAACAGAAAGAATTAAAATAAAACAAGCTGATTAATATTTAATTACATGACTATCGTAACTTGTACTCGTTAGTTGCTCTCTCTCTCTCTATCTCTCTCTCTCTCTCTTTCACTCTCTCTCATTCTCTTTGAGATCGTAACTCTATACAACATGATCTCATTATCTCTTGCAGCCTGCCCCTCTCAGTCTCTCTTTAATTATCTGCAGCTTATCAGTGGCTGACCTGCTGTGCAAATTATGAACTCACAAGCAAAGTCAATGGGTAGAGTGAAGGAGAGGGATATATATATATTCTTTATTAACTCAATTAGCAGATTGTTATATACCCTGTAAACAAATATTTGCCAAGGATTACAGTTTACTTGAATTTAGAAAGGTGAGGTGACAAAAGACTAAGATTTCCTGTACATATAAAATTTCTATTAAATCTGATATATAAAGCTAATCTTAAATTATATATGTATGTATTGTATATTATATAATAATCAAGAAATGCTCATAGACAGCCCTTGCCGTTAACTTTTATAAA